GTAGCTTGTTCTTTGATCCACTTCAAGGTCTCATGATCTGAGAACACTTTGAAGTGGCGTCCCAAAAGATAGTGCTTCCAATGGTCAAAGGTCATACGCAAAGCATAGAGCTCGCACATGTAGGTGGAAGTGGCTACCTTTTCGCTGGGCATGCGTTTGCTGTAGTATTTGAGCGGCCACAACCCAACGCCGTCATCTTGCTGCAGCACTGTGCCAATTCCATACTGACTTGCATCCGTAGTAACTACGAATGTCAGTTTGGAATCTGCAATGCGGAGTACAGGGTAACTTACCAAAGCTTCTTTCAAAGCTTGAAATGCGTCCTCGCATGCGGTATCCCAAGCGTAGGGAACGTTCTTACTTGTTAATTGGGACAACGGGCGAGCAAAAATAGAGAAGTGGGGCACAAACTTCCGGTAGTACGACATGAGACCAAGGAAAGAGCGTTGTTCGCGGATGTTCGCGGGCTGAGGCCAATTGCGTATGACCTCCACCTTGGTTGCCTCAGGCTCTAGGCCTGCAGCAGAGAACCGATGCCCAAGATAGATGACGCTATCCCTCCCAAACTCAGATTTCTCTAAGTTGAGATGGAGTTGCGTCTTCTTGAGGATGGCGAACACTTCCTCAAGGTGCTTTATGTATTCCTCCATGGATTTGCTGAAGATCAATATATCATCAAGGTATACCACCCCGAACCGACCAATCTGTTCGCCTCCTAACAATCAATTAAAACAACGATGTAACACTGCTTATCTAATGTCGGTCTCTCTACCCAGCATGTAAAACCACCGACCTCGTCTGCTATCCTACATTACACCGAACCACCCACCACGTCAAAGTGCGATGAATAACCTCACGCCATGCATGACTTTTCTTCTTCTTCTTCTTCTTCTTCTTCTTCTTCTTCTTCGTCTTCTTCGTCGTCTCCTTCTTCGTCGTCGTCTTCTTCTTCGTCGTCTTCTTCGTCTTCGTCTTCGTCTTCGTCTTCGTCTTCGTCTTCGTCTTCGTCTTCGTCTTCGTCTTCGTCGTCTTTGTCTTCTTCTTCTTCTTCTTCTTCTTCTTCTTCTTCTTCTTCTTCTTCTTCTTCTTTTTCGTCTTCTTTGTCTTCGTCTTTTTCGTCTTCTTCTTCTTCTTC